CGCATTAGTTAATTGACCGAATTATTCAAACGCAATTGGTCAATTCTCTTTTCATCCGAAATCTCGGATCGATTTCTAGCATCGTGGACACAAGGCATTATACATTGATGACCAATCACAATTGAGAATTATAGGTTAAGAGTGCATTCCATGGGTCTGTTCTTTTTAGTTGAACTGACTGTACTAGTTAAGAGTTTATCTTTCTTCTTCCAGTGTAAGAAAGAAAGATAAACTGTGAACTAGTACAACCAGTTCAGGAATAAAAAACAAACCTCATACTATACTGTTGAATGAGTACTGATTGAGCATTTCGTTTCGTTTGGAACTTTCTTCTATGTTTATTATAAATCTAAAAGTATATCTCAATCGCACATCAAATTTAGTGAACACTTGAGTGGTGTAGTATTACACAGATGCACTCATTGGCTGCGTTCAGCAGAGAAAGCAGCTTTACAACTGTTGTAAAAACTAATTTGTGTAATTGTTGTAATTACTAATTTGTTGTAAAAATCTTTGATATGATTGATTTTTGCCATTAATTTCTCACGAATCTAAATGTATAAATCAATATTAAAGAAATGTATAAATAATATTAAAAGATTTTCAGAGAAGACAACAGTTGTAAAGGAATGGCGCCCGATTGCCCACGTTGCCGATTGGCCAATTTAAAATAAAATTATTTGATTGATTGATCCGATGGAAAATCTCCAAGCATTGATCGCTGTAAGTGGCTGTGTTCAATTATAACGTGGGCTGCGTTTCGAAATTCACTGCCAGTACTGAAAATCTATAATATACGTGATCTAAATTACATTTTCAGTGCTGGCAGTGGCACATCATATCTACAATAATCTGCATTTGACTTACGAATTGGGTACGCATGACTCTTTATGTATATATTTTCCCTATTTATTTTTCATCAATCTGGGATTAGGATTAGACATTCCAAATTTCCGGAGCGATTGTAGCAATTTTATTTCGATGTACTTCCGATTGTGCGAACTCGTGGCGAATAAAGTCAACGGATAATGATCTTCACGTGCATATGACCCACGGAAGATTAAATAATAATGCAATAATAGTGATATACGTAAATACGTATCATTAAATAAGAATTTCAAACAATGGAGCCTGTATATCGAGAAACACGGAATATTTAATAAAGTATTTCCGGCCGGCGTGGCAGTCGCATTGTTGTATTCGTAACTTTGTAGCAATACAGGTAAGAAAGAGTCTTATTTCCTTACTAGATTTCAAGATTAATTGATTGAAATTGTTTCAGGGTAGAAGAAATATGATATAATCACATCACTGTTGAGATATTGAAATCTAAGCTTAATCTTTAATTTAATTTTTATTATCAAATTTTGATATTTGCGGAATTATCTGGATGCAATATTTTTTACAACGAATAACAATATATTTCAAGTTTTGGAGAAGGATATTTAACGATTTTTTGTCTAATATATAATTAGTTTTCTACATAATTTACAACTGTTTACTTGATACAATGAATTTTGACTTGTATTATAAGTTAGATAACGATGGTTATTATAATTTACACTTTGTAAACACGCAGAAACTGTCTACAAATGAAATAAGAAACATATTTTCAGCTTTTGGAAGAGTTGTAGGCATAAATGGTACTAAGGATGAAAGTGGATATAAATTTGTTAAGTATAAAACTTTGAGAGAAACAGAAGACTGTTTAAGGGGTTTGCATCATAGTGCTATACAGTTATTGCCAGAAAAGAGTAAGCTGCATGGTTTAAATAAAAACATAGATAAAAGAGATTTGAACCAATCGCAGACAACAAGATCAAATGATCAAAAAACATTTAATAATAATAAGCAATTTGATTCAAATTCCATTCATAACAAAAATGATAAAGAAAGCTTAACTTCTGAAGATAAAAGATTAAATAGCTCTGTAGGCAGCAATTATCAAAATTTTACCTATGGACATAAATCTAATCTAATTCAACATGAGCAAGAGCTAGATTCAACAATACCTAATGACAGACCGTCATCTTCAAGACAAACTTTCATGAAGAACAATGCTTCAAATACTACAATAGATTATGAAAAATATTATAGGATTGGAAAAGATGGAACTTTTAGTGTACATTTTCCAGCTAAGGGACTTGAAATAGATCAAGTAAAAGAGATGTTTTCATACTACGGAAAAGTTTTATCTGTACAACCTCGTGGAGTAAATAATGGACTTATGTTGGTAAAATATAAAACAGAAGAAGAAGTAAATAGATGTATAGATGGTTTATGGAATAGTAAAATGATAAACATATTACCACAAAAGGATAAGATTAATGATGAAAGAAAAAAATCAGATAATTTAAATCCATGGCAAGAAGCAAAAGTAGATACTTCAGAACGACATCCATCTTCCATCAACAAAGAATTTAATTCAAACATTCATAATAAAAAATCTTTAGGAATTAAAGAAATGCCCATTTATAATCATACAAAAACTTCTGAAGAAAATCTTTGGGATAATACTGATAATTTTTCAGATACTGGTTCTCGAAGTTCAAGACAGGATTATAAATCTGATACAAATAAACATCACACAGGTTCATACATGTCCAGTAACAAATACTCATTTATGAAATCAAATTCCATCCATAATGGAATACAAAATTCTGAATGTGAAATCAGAGAAGAGCAACAAAGAATTCAACCTTGTTCTTCAAAATACACTAATACAGTTATCAATACAAGTGAAAATGCGCAAATAAATACAAATGACAAAATACCAATGTTAATTGCCGATACAGAAATGAAATCGAAAGATTTGGATGCAATGTCTGATAGCTCATCGTCGAACGGAATCAGAAATTTCTCATCTAAAATCTCAATTATCCCAATGCAAGAAATAATTGTTGCTAATATTCCTGAAGAATATGGAGTACATTATATTTTACATCTGATCGAGAAATATAGTCCAATTTCAGCAACATTTGTGAAGACGATTTCTGAAAGTAACATACGATATTGTCGTGTTTATTTAAAGAACATACAAGATGCAATATCCATTGAAGAAGAATTTGACAATTTTGATTTAGCAGGAAAGAGTCTTATTGTTTTACGAAAATCACGGTTAATAGATGAAATTATATATAAATAGGTTTTTTTTATTAACATAATTATGTTTTTTTCATTAGCCTTTTTTCTATAAAGGTTATTTCTTTTTCTTTTTTATTAAAAAGGCTATTTTTATGATAGAATTATTTAGTTTGTATTAAAAACTTTTATATACTATACTTTGATATACTAGTTTGTTATCTGATTTGAAAATCTCAAACAACTTTACTCAACAAACAACTTTACAAACAAGTTTACTCATAAACTGTAATTAAGCATGTGAAAATAAAAAAATTTACTATTTTATGGCAATGATAATAATAAGATGCCAATTTATTATGCATACACATATATATCGTTTTTTTTGTTTCCTTTTTTCCTTCATCATTAATTTAATTTTCAAATTGTGAGGTCTAAAATTTATGATATAAAAATGTAGACATCAAAGAAAATTATTTATTTTTATCTTGTCTATTTAAATTAAACTTTTTTAATGTAGCTTTAAATTTTAGCTTTAAATAGCTTTTTATTAGCTTTAAATTTGTTCATTGTTATAACTAATTTTTATTTTAGTTTTTATAAAATAATTCTGTATTTTCTCTATTAAATATAAAAATC